TGATTTTAAAAAACCTGAATGTTTAACTAAATTCAAAAAATCATATGCTTGTTTTGTTAAAATATTATATGTTTGCTGTTGAAGAAAAAAATCCAGAATACATAACATTGTTGTTTTAGTTATATAAAACAATTTCAATGTCTGTCTGGTGATGTTCTCCTCCTAATACAGCATGGCAAGAAAATCCTCCAAATATTAATGATTAACCCATTGAATTGGAGATAGTTCACCTCCCAATGACTTCATAAATATCTGCTTCAATTACCTTTGGTAAATGAAATAACCAATCATTCATTTTCTGATATAGCTGTAAAACTCATCTGAAAAGTTTTCCAAATAAATCACTTAAAAAATGTATAGTGTGTACCTTCCAAAAATGAAACCTGCATCTATCTCTGAGTTTTGAAGAATATGTATTAAGGTTATAACAACCAACAAGAATGCCCTTTTATGTAGAAATCCATGATTAAATCGAGTTTTCCTGACTAGTGATTTAAATCAAATCCACCCTGGAATAATCTGACTAGCTGAAAAGGCTTCCAGTCTATGCATATGAAGACTATGTAGCTTTTAAACCAGTCAGATTGCTTATGCCCCTCACACACACACACTTTCATAACTATTTGACCCCTGTGCTGATCTGTCTACCTGTTCCACTCACAGAGTTTCATTTACTATGCATTAATATTGTTGCAAGTGCTTGATTTTCTCCAGGAAAACTTTGAAGCTTGGGCAGCAGAGTCGGACAATCTGAATACGTACTTCAGGAAGTTCCCATTTATTTATTATATAGCTATATTACTAGAGAGAAGCCTAGAACAGGACAGCTGCTTGTTTTTAATGTAATGCTAATTATGCTGACTGTGAATGAGCCATCATGCCAATTGGAAAAATGTACCTGCCCTCTTCAGAGGAAGACCAGTCAAAGGGACAAACACAAAATAATGGTTTAGTGCAAAAACCCTAGGCAATAAAGGATACCTAAATGTGAAAAGGGCCCAATTTGAATGCAACCAGAAGAATTTATTTTAAAAAGACTGGCTCCCTCCCCTCACTACACCTTTCCTATCACTACAAACTACAGCAGATGGATTCTTTAACAGCATAAATGGGATATATTAATCTGGGTATTTAATATGGTGCTTAGCCCTCTGGGCTGGGATTATGCAGACATGTGTCTACCTCAGAGCTGGAAAAAAAGATGGAATGTTAAGTAATTTAGTGTATTAGAATGTGTAGAACACTGAAAGTTGTATTTATTTTCCACTACTTATACAAGTATCAGGGGGTAGCTGTGTTAGTCTGTATCCACAAAAACAACAAGGAGTCAAGTGGCACCTTAAAGACTAACAGATTTATTTGGGCATAAGCTTTCGTGGGTAAAAAAACCCACTTCTTCAGATGCATGGAGTGAAAATTACCAACTTATTACAACTAATTACTACATATACAGTTTCATTTTTGCATTCCACATCTAGCATAATGAATCCACACTGATCAGTTTCACAAGCTTTTCTAGTCAATCTCACTTTTCTCATGCACACTATTCTGACTCTGGGCACTAGCATTACAGAAGAGTAAATTAAACACAGAAAACAGCTGATCAAATTCTGCCCCTAGTTAAATCCACTGGTTTGTACAGGGTGTAACTAAGGGCAAAAATGTATCATTTTTAAATGAGTTTAAAAATACTAACACCATTTGTATTAGATTATCTTGAACTCTCTCCCCCAAATCTAAAACTACTTAACAGACTCGTATATAAGCTTTTGGTAAATGCAGCCACATTTGCCAACTAGAGAAAGATACCATAGCAATTAGGTACTAAGCGTTGATATGGCTGAGTGAAGTGAGTGCAAGCCCTGGTCTACACTGAACATTTAGACTGACATAACTACATCGCTCAGGGGTGTAAGAAATTCACACCCTTGAGTGCCATAGTTAAGCCAACCTTAAGAATTCCAAGTTAAGAATTCTTCTGCTGGCCCAGCTACTGCCGCTCAGGGATGTGGAATATCTACACCAATGGAAAAATCCCTTTCCTAGATATAGGAAGGGTCTATGCTATGGTGCTAAAGCTGTACAGCAGTCACTGTAGCACCGATAGTGTAGACATACCTCGAAACTATCTGCAAAAAAAGTTTTGTTGGAAGAGACACGGCCAACTTAAGTCACATCTTTCTGAAATGTTATTACCAACCTATTGTTACAAGTATACCTGAAGTTACTATTGAGAAAATTGTTTCACTTTAAATTTGTATACAGTGCTTCAGGAGAAGAGGTGATTTTTCTGGAGGATGCCATCTTGTGCTCTAAAGCAGTGTTTCCTGAACGGTGGGTTGCAGGCCCAGCGCAGAGAGGAAGCCACAGGAAGGAGTGGCAGGCTTGAAAAGTGAGCCTGTCCTGCTCTCACTAGCAGTAGCAGCTCCTGCCCCACAGGGGTGAGCCTGCCTCCCCACTCCGGACATTGTGACCTGGCACACAGGTCACATCCCCACTCAGGTTTCACCCAGCCATCAGGACAAACCTGAGTGGTGCTGAGACCCAGTGCGCCAGGTCACAACACCCAGAGCAGCGAGCCAGGCCCTGCCCTGTAGGACTGGAACCACTGCTGCTAGGTGAGTGTGAGGCAGGTTTGCTCTCCAACTTCCTCCCAGGGCAGGGCCTCCCCTCTGCATTGGGCTGGGATTAAGGTTGAAGTGTCAGGGCAGAAGGTACTGCTGCAGGTGGTCAATGCCCCCTCAGTGGAGCAAAGAGGCAGTGGAGAACACCACCAGCCTATGAAGTGGGCCCCACAAACATGCACATTTGGACCCTGGGTGGATCGCGCACACACACGAAGGAGAGAAAATGCAATTGGTGAGTCACCTTCATAAAAAATTTGGGAACCGCTGCTCTAAATCTTAAGATTTCACTCAAAAAATAAATAAAAAAAATAAAAAAGGAGGGGACTTTTGCCCATATGGTTGCAAAGATTACACTTCTCACATTAAATGTAATGGGTGCAGTGAAATTAGCACAAGGAAGTCGGAAAAAAGAGCTCTGAGAAAAATGTGCATTGTCCCTATACATTTCAATGGGTTGGGAACTCTGAAGGCTACTGTTAAGGATATGTTAACATTATTAGTTATTTCACAGTTGATGAAAGCACACAAGAGCACAAGACAATATTGTGTTATTATTCAAGTTTCCTGTAAGTGAAGTCTTGCTTTGATGTCTCAGAGCAGAACTTAGTTTGTGTTGGCAGAAAGTTTGGAAGACTGATGCTATTCCCTCTCCCCTGTTCAACCCCTAATTTCCTCTGATTTGGGAGAGAATCGGGAAAGCGATGTTTATGCAAACAGGAAAATAAGTCAGTGTCGCCAACCCATACAATTTGTTAGTCTCATAATGTTTAGAATTTCTCTTAAAGCCCCAGCTCCTAGAGTCACGCTAAAGGAGAATCTCTGTTTTTGTTAACACAAGTTTCCTATCGCTCCAGATTATGGAGAAACGCTTGAAAGGAGCTGGAGGGCTCTGATTCCACCTTCCTCTGTAGGGGGGGCCAGCCTCTATTCCACCCTGGCCCCATGGCCTGACGGGGATATTGATTAGTGGCTCATCTGTGGAGCCGTGAGCAGGGGCATGTACCTGGCACAGTTCACCCCCATCCCTGACACCCGCCCCTTTTGTGGTATGAGGGAGAACCTGGTGCATGCTTATCTCGAATGCGTCAGGTTGCAGCCCCTCCAGAACCTCCTGCTGAAATTCTAACTGCACTTTTCCCCACACCTGCTTATATCTACACACCCTGTCCATGGCCCCACCAAGTCACAAGACCACCTCATCAACCTCCTCCTCGCCCTGGCCAAAGTAGCCTCTACAACACCAGGAGGAGGATGTTAGATGAGGGAGTGCTCCGCGACGTGGGGGGGGGGGGGGGGGG